CTCTTAGGTCTCTCAGATAATCTTCACGTACGAGTGGGGGGGTTCGGTATAATGTATGTGTGTGTGTGTGTGGCAAAAGGACGTTCCGTAACGGATATCCTTAAGCGTTTGTTGAGTGGCACACATGTAAACAATTACATTATACTGATGTGGACTATTTTTCTGCATTAATGCATGCATGCAAAGTACCCAACACACAGACACGGTCACACACACACACACTTACACACAAGGACATTAAGTGACCATTAAAATGAAGTAAAAAATTAAAAACCAAAGGCGAAAAAAAACTTTAGTAAATTATTAAACTGACTGCTGACCATGGATTCTTGATGACCGAAACGCGAAAAAAACGACACTCTCCAACACCAAAAAAAATATACGTTTTCTTTTCTTCTTCTTTTTTGGTTCTGCGTTCACTGTCAATGTCCTTAAATGTATTCGCTGCTGGTTATTTTTTTGGTTGTCCTCTGCAGTCTGATCGTTGTTTATGTCCATTTTCGCGTATTTATTGTTAAAATCCGATTTACTGCAATGGTAATGTCCTGATGTGGTGGTCGACCAGCTTTATTAAATGCCTTGTAAGCGTCCAGGATGTGCGCCCGTATGCGTTCGCCTGCTCTCATACATATGTGTGTGCATCATGTGTCCCAGTTCCTCTTTTTTCCACATTCAATGTTACTGCAACGTGTTGCACACTACTGAGGATTTACATCGTGGCTGTCTGAATGGCAATGATGGCAATTATTTTAATGGTAAACTTGTTAAAGCTATCTTCACAATCTTGGTTACTTTTTCTGGAGAGAGAGAACGCGCGAAAATAAGAGAATAAAATTTAGAGTGAGATCTTTAAATGGCTTTGATGCATAGGGAGAAAAGTGGTATATTTCTCTTTTGCACATATGTTTATTTTTTCTGTAGTCAGGCGATTTGACGATTTTAGCGACATTATTCACCGGAATTGTTTCAAATTTGGTATTTGAAGTTCGAAATGGATACTACAGCCTAAGACTGAAAACTGGATTTTATTTTCCAATTCGTTCCAAATGGTGGAGGGTATTCAAAGTTCGGCCCGGCCGAACTTACTGCTTTTTAACTTGTTTTGCGTAATTTTTTCTACGCCCACTCGCTCGAATTCGAGTAAGTTTCACTCTTTGACCAAAATCACGTAAGTTTTTTGGAAGTCTGAAAAAAGTTTATATTTTGTTTATGTAGGTTCCAACAACAAGCCTAAGAGAACGAACGTAGGAAAATTGAGAGCTAACCCAGCAAAATCTTGCGAGCTGTATGCAATACCGATAGCTTGAAATGTATGGGTTATTTATAAACAAGTAAGCAAAGGCTACAGTCGAGCGGGGCCGACCGTTGAATACCCTACAACACTATAATAAACGACACAGTTTATATAGGCGAGATACTCGAAAGAATTCCACAAGATATTGTGACAAATAATAAAAGAAAACAATCAGGTTTCGTTCTCTAATGTTCAAATAATAGCAACTTAAACTAATTTGCTCATTTCCAATTTATTGGTAGATATCTTCCTAGATTTTGAACCAATATTTCCCAAAGACCTATAATCTCTCAAAAATGGCAAAATGGTTTTTGACTGAAACGCATCTATATGAGATACAGACACTTGACTATATTCTTCAACGAAATCAGCGTTAACGAAATAGTCAGAAGTGCGTCTTTCCTGTATTTGTGAATTCTCCAAAAAGTCACTGGAATGGACATTTTCGTATTTTGTCTACAAAAGTTGGCAAACTCCTTCACACATTGAATATTTTTGGATGGCCATCCAAAACTGCTTGGCTTTTGCAATGTCCGGTAACCCCCATTCAAATGTGCGTGAGGATCGGGCGATAATTACGACCTCCTGACAATTTTGCAGTTTTTTGGTCCATTTCAACCCCTAAATATATGGCGATCATCTCCAAAAAGAGTAGGCTTCTATTCTGACCCTCATCTTATCCCCATGCAAAATTTCGTAAGGATCGGGCCATAAATGCGATCTGTATATGATTTCCTGATATCCTAACTACTTAGTTTTGTTAGCTGTAGAAATATTACCAAATGTTTAATTCAAAATGAAAATATGCCAAAAATATGACAAAAATTGAAAAATATGAGAAAATTTTACAATATCAATATTTTCATCTTTAGAGAGATATTTTTATGCGATTTTTTAGATTTTTTTTCTTTCCTGTCAAGAGGCCATTCTGAATTAATGAGAATTGCCAAAATCAGTTCAGCCGTTCTCGACATATATGAGATCTTTCAAGCATATCTTCTTTGATAGACATATATATCGCATATATTTGCTATATATTCGATTTTTTGGACCTTAACATCAATGTAAAGATTCGCCGGGATTTAAAATATTCGCGGTTTAATGAAAAATTTTAAATTTTTTCAACAAAAACGATATGGTCTATTTTACCCGCTAAATATTATCCGATGACCACCCAAATTGGTAGGCTTCTTCCCCGCCCTAAGCTCTAGCTACATGCGAAATTCCGCGTCGATTGGTCTATAATTGCGACCTGTATAGCTACTGCAAAATCCGACATTTTTTCAGTATTTGGTCCATTTCAACCCCTAAACATTTGGCGATCATCTCCAAAAGAAATAGGGTTCTATTCTGACCCTAGCCCCACCTCCATTCTAAATTTCGTGAAGATCGGGCCATAATTGCGACCTGTAGAGTGATTACAAATTAACATGGACAGACGGACAGACGGACAGACGGACAGACGGACGGACGGACATACATAGCTAGATCGACTCAGCTTGGCGAGATAGGAAGATCCATATATACTTTCCTATGTGGGAAATCAATATTTCGTGGTGTTACATAATTTTTGGCCCAATCAAACTTATAATACCCCCAACACATAGTGTTGTAGGGTATAAAAATATAAAGAACAAAAGTTACTTTCCTCATTACCAAGTAGTGAGTACCGTCGGCAACTTGAACGCATTGAAATGCAAAACCCAAACCATCAAGTCACCAAAAGGGTATTTTTGTCTATTTATACCCTACAACACTATGTGCATAAGTTTGATTGAGCCAAAAATCATGTAACACCTCGAAATATTGGTTTCCCACATAGGAAAGTATATATGGATCTTCCTTTTTCGCCGAGCTGTGTAGATCTACCTATGTATGCCCGTCCTTCCGTCTGTCCATGTTAATTTGTATTCACTCTACATGTCGCAATTATGGCCCAATCTTCACGAAATTTGGAATGGAGGTGGGGCTAGGACCAGAATAGAAGATTATTGCTTTTGGATGATCGCATAATATTTAGGGGTTGAAATGGACAAAAAACTTAAAAAAAAATCTGATTTTGCAGTTGCTCTACAGGTCGCAATTATAGATCAATTGATGCAGAAGTTAGCACGGGGCTAGAGCTTAGGGCTGGGCAGAAATCTTCCAATTTTTATGGACATCGAGTAATATTTAGTGGGTGAAATATACCTTAAAATTTGTGTTAAATAGAAGTTAAATTTTCCATTAAACCGCGAATATTTTTTTAAACCCGGTGAAATCGAAAATAAACGAACAGGTCAATTTTGACCGTTACGTAGATGCCGATAGTAAATATATCGGATGTATGTAGCGAAATATATACAATGTATATATACACTGGGAGGGGATGAATGCTTATATCTCAAGAATGGCTGCACCGATTTTGACAAATTTTGTCAATTCATACAAGAATAAAATCTTAAAAAAAATCGCATAAAAATATGACAATAACGATGTTAATATAGATTTTGTAGTATTGTGCGACTTTTTTTATTGTTCCTTTTTTCATCGCATGCAATTTTTTCAGTTTGACTTATAATATTGAAGTAATATTTTTTTTTTTTTGTAATATAATGTTGTAATATTTTTCACCTTACAACATAGGGGGGGGGGGGGTGTTGGGGTAGTTATTATAAACAGATTGCAACTATCGTCCGATCCTCACGAAAATTTTTACAAGGGTAGGGTTAGGCTCAGAAGAGCTAGGCCTATTGTTTTCAAAGATATCCGCAATATATTTATGGGTTGAAATGGGGCAACAACTAAAAATGTGCCTAATTTCGCAGCCGTTAAAAAAGTCAAAAATAGAAACCATAGGACACGAAATCCCGCATGAAGTTCGAGTTTAGGACAGCGGGTAGAGTGGAACACTAATTTTGTGTGAAAAAAACAACATTTCCATTCTATCGAAACGCTGAAAAACAGGCGATATCCAAAATACACAAAATGGCGAACTTCTAGCGTTATATGCTGATTTCATTGACGAATATAGCCAAATATCGAAGACAAGCAAATCATATAGATGAATCTACATTTAGAGATAAAGAGGGGCCCTTTTGCATTTGGAGATGATCGCAAAATATTTAGGAGTTCAAATGAACCAACAGGAGAAAAAAATTCCTAATCACACAATTGAAGCCAATCGACACGCCTGAGAAGAGAGTAATTGACAGGGAAGAATTCTAGCATTTTGGATGACCATTGAATAACATTTAGCTGTGGAATGGACCACAACAACTAACAGCACGGCGGAGTGCGTAAATATTGGGCAAATTTCCCTGGTCAAATGCTAAGGATAATATCTAGGCAATGCTCCGTAACATAATTTCAAAAGCGAAATCTTCCAAAAGGGATTTGGACATAAAGATGCCTCTAACATATTGTAGTGTTGTAGGGTATCCTTGCTTACTTGTTTTATTTTAGTTTTAAATCACAACAGTTTTACATTAAATTCAAATCTTGCAAACGGAATAACCAACGTAATGCACCCTACTTAGTATGGTGGAGATTATAATAAGTATGATTATAATTTTCACCACAAATTCAAAATAAATAGAATAGAAACCACCATGACCACCACTATAAATGGTAATTTCAATATAGGCATGCGTCAGCTATGACACATCATCTAATTCAATACATTTGAAAGCATGAAAAAGAAAAACTTAACTCAGAAAACACTTACCTCAACTCTCCAGATTTCCAGGCCAGGAGCACGACCGGCATTGGCAAACGCTGAATGCATGACTCTGTTTCCTGGCGATTTACTACCCGGTTGGATTTGATTTGTTTGGACCGGAAATGTGGGACGATTTGCAATTGTACCGGCTGAGCACAGTGTTGCCAAAGCTAAGGCAATAAAACAGCTGTTGGTTGTTTACACCACACACATACACAACGACACGAACGAACGCACAGACGAAATGATTCATACAATTCAATGTCAGTGCCAAGGATACGTCATAGGTTTCAATAATTCATGAAAACAAAATAAACGAGAAAAAACGAAATAGGTTTTCATTAACATTTAGCAGTAATTTAGAAACAAAAATTATTTACTATAAAATACTTGAAATGAATTTTAAGTGATACTACTTTTTACAGTTGTTTTTGCCGATTTGTGGCTTTTTGTTTTGTTGTTGTTAGAATTGATTTTTATCGCAACCGTTTTAGTCTCTTTCAATGCGCCGTCAATAGCGAGTTATATTGCTCGTGAATGTCGCATTACAACTAATTTTTTGGAGAACCACAGTTTGAGTTTGTTTTGGCGTTTGTTTGCCTCTATTCCAGATAGCGTTTTATAACTTGTGAGCTCCAAAAATGTACTCACATGTACGGCACAGTGCATGTATTTATGTACATATTCACGTGAGAACAAATCCATTGTTTTATCATTATTGTGTAGAGCTAAACAAATGATTTGAATGGACTTTTAGAGGGGAACCAATTAATTGATTCATTAAGATAAGGTGGGGTTGGTTTACTTTGAGAGCAAACTTATATGTTTATCATGAGTAAAACAGTGCCACCCACTTTCATTCAATTTTCACTTAATAAATTCAAAAATAAAATCAAATATACAATTTAAAGCAGATTTTGTGTCTATTTCCTCAAATATATGACCCCTTGATTTACTGCCATCCATTATCGTATAGAATATTGAACAATTAATTAATAATAGAATATTGAACAATTAATAGGTACTCACAGCTGATCAGTACCTATTAAATTACTTATTGAAATTGTTATCATAGTGTGGAAGATAAACAAATAGAAAACAAAACGTAAACAAGTTTGGCATTTCCTCTGACTTTAAGAATCTGGTACTGTGGCATTGGAGGGGTTTTATTATATTTTCAGCCTTGTGGCTAAAGGTACAAATCGAGCTAAAACTCCCATTACCAAATAATGAGTTTCTTAAATGTACCCCAGAAACTCATAGTATTTAATTACATTGTAATACAAATCTTCAAAGAGAAAAAATTAAGTTCGACCGGGCCGAACTTTTAATACCCTCCCTCCACCATAAGATAAAGAAAACATTTTTCTATAAAAGCATCTGAATTCAAACGTGTTCCACTTTAAACTACAAATATCAGTAAGACCGTTTGGATAATGTCGTTAAACTTTTCAAAAACCCATAAAGTGGTTGAGGCCGTTGTGCCGTATGGCCACATCATACCAAAACGGGAACCTTTATAGACCATTTTAAACTTCAAGGATTATCATCTACTAAACCTTCTTAAGTACCGCATTTGAAACAATATCGTTGGTAAATGTGACTAGGATTATCAAAATACCGTATATCGGTGGGTATAGTTATATGTGCGCTATAGGAAAACGTGGACCTAAATATTTAATGTGCTATCATAGGAGCTAGAACCCATTACGAATAAAAAATACCAATTTTTGAACAAACCCGTGGAAAAATGTAGCGAAAATCATTAAAATACCGAATATTGGGAGGTACCATTATATCGAGGCCATACAAAATCGTGGACCTATACATACTATGTTTCGCCACCGGAGCTAAAACCCATTATGACCTTCAAATACAAATTTTTGGACAAACCCGTGGAGAAATGTGTCAACAATCATCAAAATACCGAATATCGGGAGGTACCGGTATATGGCGGCTATACCAAATCGTGGACCGATATATCTCATTTTCAATACCAACCATCCTAGACACAATACAAATGTGTTGTCAGACGGACTATATGGGGTCTACGACAAATATTAATAATGATGATACAAACGGAATGAAAAAGTTAATATACCCTACTTTTCAACATGGAGTATATAAAATCAAACTTCTTCTAATGTTCCAATTTGGTTTATGGGTGCCCACAGATGACGAATATGCCTTTAAAAAACAGAAAAAACGATTTTCTTCGTGCTTTACACAGCAAAGCAGATGCCTAACAGTAATTTTATTTACTTATCTGAAAAGGGATTTTCATGAGCTTTCAAAAAATGGAAAAATCAAATCATCGGTTGAGAAAGAGACGAGATATAACTTTTTCAAAGAAAAAAAATAAATAATAATAGATATCCGTTTTTAAAAATAGAAGTTATGCACGTTTATAGTTGACTAGAATTTTTATCTATATTTACCATTATAAAATCAATTTTCGAAGTGACGCAGAAGACCCAAAGGCATATTCGTCATCTGTGGGCACAAACCAGAATTGGAACATTGGAAGAAGTCTGTACTTTTTTAAGATTTGTATCACAGTTTTATTATACTATCCGCTTCGTAACCGTATTATATTATACCCTTGGTTACCCTTCAAAAAAAGCAATGAGACCCCACAAAGTATATATATAAATATTATTTTTAAAAACACAAGATTCTATGCCGATTTAATCATGACCATCTGTGGAAATCACTTTAACTTTTGAACGGAATGAAGTAAGTGGTCAAAATTCTACCCAACTGGATTTTAAGTTCGTTGAATTTTTGCAATAGAAAAAGTGTCCCGATTAAAGTAAATTTTGGGTTTGTAGTCATATTTTTAAACTAATTTGCTGTTAATCTCCAATTAATATTTCCAAGGACAAAAAATTCTTGAAAAGAACTGTCCATATTGATCCATATACCTCCCGATACTCTGCATTTTTCAATGGAATTTTTTCGAAGTTGAGAGTTTTAAGTTAAGTTTAGAGTTCGCAATATGTTCTTAGTTACAAATCTTAATAGTAAAACATAACTTTTTCATAAAAAGGTGCAAGAATTTAAAAAGTAACCTTTGCGGAAAAATTTCTGTAGCCCTGAAAGGTTTTTGACTAGAATGAACAAATCCCTCAAAATATTGGAATACAAATTAAAAAATAATTTTCAACAAAAAAGTTCGTTCCACAATTCGATTAATTTATTACTTCTCTGGGAAATGAGCATTTAAAATCTTTGCGTTTGAACATTTTCGTATTTTTGATGAAAATCAGTTAAGATTAATAGCCTGTATTTGTATGACATTTCGAAAATGAACTCGAAAGAACATCAGCTAAGTCGATAAAGGCATGTCCGCCCGCCTGTTGTAATCAAGTTTGATTCTAAACGACATGTGATAGGAAGCTAAAATTTTGAAAAAAGTTATCTTTTGTCAGGTCAAATTCGTCTTCGTATAGCCACCACATAATTGTACCTCCCAATATTCGGCATTTTGATTATTTATGTGTTTAAAATTCGGTATTTGGAGCGCATAATGGACCTGGAGTGCATAATGGGTCATAATGGTATTTGGAGTGCATTTAGACCGCATATAACCGTACTTCCCCATATTCGGGATTTTGATCATATTATACACCCTTTCTGAAGGAATAGTTTTAAGCTCAGTATTTCGAGTTTATAGTGGGTTCTACCCCCTATAGCAGATTATGGGCTACATATGTCTACGCCTTCGTATAACTCCCATATAAGTGTAGCTTCCGATATTAAAATTGGTAATTGGAGTTCATAATGGGTTCTACTTGCTGTGGCAGAACATTGCCTACATAAGTCCATGTTTCCTAATATTCTCATGATATTAGACACACCTTCTAACGGTATAGTTTAAATTCATTAACATATATAGACTCAAAAGAACTAAAGAGTTGCTTCGCTTGGCCGAAAGAGGTGAACTGTCGAATTTTGTTTTCTCCGATGAGAAAATATTCATTGTCCAGCAGTTTGTAAACAAACAAAAAAATCGTTTTTATGTGCCAAAGAGGCCACCAGAATTCAAGCGCCGGCCATGGTAATGGTGTGGGCCGTCATAACAGCCGATGGTCTCTCTCCGCTCGTATTAATCGACCGTGGCATTAGAATAAATGCCAAATATTATCGCGAAAATATTCTGGATGATGTACTAAAGGCTTTGGCACGCAAACATTTTAGCCCCAGACCTTGGACATTCCAACAGGACTCAGCTCCATCGCACTCAGCACGCGCCACCCAAGAATGGTTACGAAATGAGGTTCCTCGCTTCATTTCCAGCTCACAGTGGCCACCAAAATCTCGGGACACCAATCCGTTGGACTATTGTGTCTGGAGTTTTTTTTGGAAAGCAAGGTTGGCACTAAAAAATACCTAAGTGTCGATCACCTCAAGCAAGCGTTTCGCCGGGAATGGTCTATAATACCGCAGAGCAACATTCGGGCAGCATGTGACGATTTCATTAGCCGTTTGAAGACCATAATTCGTGCCAAAGGTGACCAATTCGAACAAATCTAAACTTATTCTAAAATTTGATGCGATTTCCGACATTTTTTGCTTTCATTCACTAAAGTGTAAAAAAAGTTATGGCGTTTGACTTTGTTGCAGTTTTTTTATATCACCCTGTACTTTCCGACGTTCTGCAGTTCGGTTAGGTTCCCCTCAGTTTTACAAGGAATGGTAATAAACTGATATACATAAGTGGTCGACTCAACACCCATACATTATTCAACTGAATCTCATATAATTTAGCGTCTCATCATGTACTTCAACATATCCTATTTTCGGTATACTCAATGTGATTCGAATAGCCTTTCGAAAGTGAATTGCAAACAATTGCCAAATGAGATGCAAATTTTTAAATACATTTAGTTGGAATGTTTATAGTTTCCCAACCTAATAAAGAAGAGCAACAACAATTTCGGCCAAGTCAAATGGATTTTGTTTGTCTCAAAGTGTCAAAAGTCAAATACATTCATAATTTCATGAATGTGTTTTGCTAATGTGCATATCGTAAAAGTTAATTGTAAAAGTTCTACCAAGAATATGTAGAATTCTCGGTAATGACACTAAGGGGATTAAATGTTATTTATGTAGATGAGAAATATGACAGCGTCACTCAATTAGCCACTTTATTGATCACTTTTGAAATGTGAAACGTAACACACA